CCGCTAGACAGAGATTATTCTGTTTGCCCTGAGTCTTATCTAAACAGAGTCTTTTCTAAGCTTCCCAGATAAGTTTCCACATCATGATCATTCTCTGTGAGCACTTCCCCCCTTCTCCCAGTCTTTTTCCTCCTCTTTTCAACATGCACCTGTCTGGAAGGATTGTGAAGCAAAATTCCCCAAATCTACCAGTACTGCTCATCAAAATGTTGTGTCTTCCCCCGCATGGAAAGAAATCCCTCTCCTTCCTCTACATCTGTAGTTTTTCATATTGCCTTTTTTTAGGATTTCAGTATGGCTTACACTTAATCTTGATTTTCTTCCCTCGATGATGATATGCAGGATTTGTAATGGGGAAGACGGGGGGTTTGCCACTTAAAATTTCTGTAGTGCTGATACTAAGGAAATATGACAACACAACCAAATAGCACGGTGCTATTCACCCTCTTGAGAAAGAGGTGGGAGTTTTGCAGGCAGCAGTGGCCATCTGTGGTTCCCTTTGGTGATTCCTGTTGCTGTCACCAAAGACAGCTCGTGCAGGGCTTAGGTGTTTTTGGGGAGAATCTGCCCCATTTTGGGCACGTTTCACCATGCCTGGGAGGTGGAAGGTTTTGGTTTCCTGCTGGTTGCTGGATACTTTGGTGTGTACCAGAGAGCTGTCCTACCTGGCAGGGAGATGGGGGCACATGGGATATCTGCTTCGTATTTCATCCAGCGTGCCAAAAGCAAAGCATGAAAATCAGAAATTCTTCTCTAGCTTCCAAGTAGAGAGGGAAGAAATGATCGTTTTTTATGATTTAAATAATGTTTTGTTTTGTTTTTAAACTGGCTTTGATTAGAAATTTTGAGGACCTATTGTTTTATGTCCGATACGGTTGCTGTGTGTTGGCAGATTTTAATCTGTTCCAGTGGTTTGCTGGCTGGACAGGCGTTGCACGTTATGTCTGCATTTTAGTGGCACTGCCAGGGGACATCAGGCCTTTTGCCCTTGTCTGTGTGCACTCAGAAATTAAATGTAGCCTTAACCTTAGCACAGTTTGGGGAGCAGTTACTACAACCTTGCCATAGCAATTTTTTTTAGTAAGATTGTGACATCTGTGCTGGCAAAAAAAAACCCACCCAGCAACAACAACAAAAAAACCCTGCTAAATCATTTGTGGTTTAATCATTGTCACAATTTAACCACAAAGTACCCTAAGTAGCGGCCAAAAAATCCTGTTAGGCCTTTTCAGATCGCTCTCCGACCGAAGTGGCTAAATACCAAGCAGTAATTCTAAATTACTTCTGTATGCCACTTCTACTTAATGTTCTAGAACAGTTTCTAATAAAGCATCGGAAAGTAATCACTTGAATGAAAGCACCTCCGAGGTAACAGCAACCTAGGCACACCTATAATGTGATATTTGATAACGATTGCCTTGTTTAATTCTCCTATTTACACAGTTACAGCGTGTTCCTTCACAAGTAGGGATTGCATTTAATTCCTTGTTTCACTACAAGCATTCCTTTCACTTTTTCTGAAACAAAATTTTGCACTATCAAGAGCATGCTCAAAGGGACAATGTCCTCATATGATATCCCTGAGTCTTTTAAACTTAGTGTGTTATCTGGATTTTTTTTTTCAAATGGAAAAGTAGACAGGAAATATTTTCAAGTAAATAAAACAATATTCCGTTTTTTTTTTTTCCCGGATTTGTCAATCACAATGGTATCTAAGAATACCAGGTAACAGTAAGCTTGACGGAAAAATAAATAAAACTAGCCCTTGTGGTAGACTTAATATGTTAATTTTGCCAGCTTTAGGCACGGTGCATCCCCCTTTTCCATAAAGTTCTGCTATACTGTTGGCATGGAAGCAACGGCTAAAAACTGGCCAGCCACTGTGGTTACATGTTGCTTAATTATCCAATGCCTTGTGACATTCCCGTTTCAGACCTGGCCACCGGCCGGTCCTCGCCGCGTGCTTGGCTTTCCTCGAGGGATCCGGGATGCTCCCGCCGCGGCCGGGCGCTGGCAGCGGATCCAGCGGGGAGCAGACGCTCCATCAGCAGATTTTCCCCAGCTCGCGCTCCTTTTGGTGCAAGCTTCCAAAGTCCAAGGACCGTCCAATCTAGTTTTCTAAACCTCATGTCGGTAGGGTCTGACTGGTTTAGAAATTGGCTTAAAGATAGTGATGGAACTACCCTTTTTACACAAAAAGCATGTCTGCAGCTGTGCTGACTTCTCCAGAGCCTAAAAATAATAGTCCCGAATAATAAATCAGTGTGACGTTTGAGCGAGTGGCTGGTGGCATGAGGCTGGTTCAGATCAGGATTGCAAAACCATCAGCGGTTGCAGTAACACTCACACAACTAGTGTCAGATCCACCTGTGTGGAAGTTTTATGGGTTGTTTTCTTTAGTTGTTTTTAGGTGTTTTGTCTCGCTATGAAGCTGATAATACAGTGTTGGTGTTGTGCTGTGTCAGCTTGCAGCAGGTGACAGAGCATTTCCCAGACAGGGGCTATCCAGGGACCAAGTGCCTGAGCGCCAGGCAGCCTCCAGGGAGAAAGGACCCCTTGTAGAAGATGCTGGTCATTCATTTTTGGATGGTTGGCTGGTTTTCTTCATGTCTGAATATGTTGTCTCTTTGGATGTTTCTGGGTTGTGAGCAAGAAAGTATCTTTATTGTCATTTTCTGTGTTTAACCTGCTGAAGTTATTCACACACACATTCACAGGCATATGATCAGAATACAGATGTGGCTGTGCTGTAGCACAGAGATCAGGTCCTTCTGGCACATGCAGCTTGTTGAATCACACACTGTATGAGAAGAGATTACCCAAAATATGCTGTTCACAGCTTTCCTAGGAAAGTTGGCTGTGATATTTATTTTTTCCTCCCTTATGGGCTTCTCACAAGTACTGAGAGTTCAGTATGTCTATATGAAAACCAGACTAGCAGAGTCAGAGGACTTTTGTACCCCCAGTAAATTTACTAGATTACTAAAAATATGGTTAAATGCAGATATCCTAGCCCCAGCCCCTGGGACAGCTAAGGTTGTGCAGTCCTTAGTATTATGTTCTTTGTATCTCTAATAAAAATTTGCATTGTTTTTAGCTTGGCAGAGCTAAAAAAAAAAAAAAATCTCAGTTTGATAAAGGCGGCTGTAGCTCTGTAAGGGGAACCTGTAGGTTTGGATTAGGACAATTCATACCAGTGCAGATGCAGGGGAAAGCGTTATTGCAAGCAGCAATTTAAGTGCATTTTAAGTTCATGCAGAGCATCCGGAGCCCTAGATGTGCTTCGTCTCCTTACAACAGAATTCTGACCCTGGTGCTTGCATCAGAAGAGGATGTAGTTTCAGGTAGTTGACCAGAGTCTATTATTATATATGGCTTTGCAGACATGGAATTGAAAATAAAAGACTTATAGTAATATTTAGTTAAAAAGTCCTAAAGGAGATCTCAAAAGAATATCTCATTTCCCAAGAAAAAATAATAGAGGCTTTTAGAGCAGTTTCAGATGATTGTGAAGTGTAGAAGCTGAAGTGGGAGTTGCATAGAGAAATTCTCTTTTCCTATGACTACAGAATAAACAGGAAAATTACTGTGATTCTGTAATACTTCCAGCTTGGTATCAGTAGTATCAGTGCAATAGACTGTAATGACTTGAATTTATCATGTAATAGAAGGGAATCTGTTGTGAAGTAGCCACAAAGTAACTCCAGATGAATCTAGAGTAGTGAAAATTGCAATTCAATCAATGAAAATTTCAATGTAATCAGTACTCAAAAAAAAAAAAGGTAATGTTTAAGTTAATATTAAGAAAATCATTGAGATGTGAGCGCTCTCTGTTCAACTGACCCCCTGAGGGGCTCCTGGGGTGGTGGTAAGGACAGCACCAGGGTGCACCTGTGTGTGCAGGGGCAGGGTGCTGTGTTCAACAACCACTTGTTCTTCGCTCTGTGTCCAACCTTTATGTCGGGGCCATGTCACACAATGGGATTTTACTTAAGCTCTCCCATGGGATCATTGTATTTCAACCTTTGACGCCTCGGTACCTTTAGCAAAAAGTGCTAATGTACTTATGAAATGACCTTAATGTTCACAAAATGCTAAAGCTGTATGTTTAACTGAAGTGTAACAAAGGGAACTTGTTGGGAGTTTGGCCCTAAAAATTGCTGGGTTTGGGGTTTATTTATTTATTTTTAATTTAATCATGCAAAAACTGAACAAGGAAAATATTCTTTTACTGTACCTTAGCCCTAGTTGTCTTGACTTTGCAACTGCTCTGTTGATGATGACTCAAAGCCATGGTGAACTAATTAGGACAGTTCTGTGTTACTAACAAAAGGGCTGCTTTCTTCCTCCCTCCTCCCCCAAGCAGTTTGTCAAGCAAAATTGTATCCTACACCGAAATAATAGAAATCTAATGTATCCTGGCACTCTGTCTTTAGTCAACCAACAGTATTTTGTAATGCTGTTTTAGTACATGTATTAAAGGACTTGTGTTATACACAGCCCATTAACACAAGGGAATCATTAATTTCTGGAGAGCGTCTTTGCCAGAAAGATGTGGGCTTTAAATCTTCTACGTCTTCTACGTCCATAGAAAAGTATTAGCCATCTCGAATCTGATAAATGGGTATAGTCACTATTAAAAAAATGATAGATACAGTAAAATCTCATGCTCTGCATTTAAAATAACTGCATTTTACCAGTTGATATTATTTTGGAAAACTCACCGATACATCTACATCTGCACAGACGTACTCAGATGCAGGATCTTAAACTTTTTTTGTGTTCAGCTCCAGGTTACAGGATGCTGTTGTTCCTTGTTTGTGTTTTTCTGCGCTTTGCATGTGTGTCAAGATAACTTGTGCTGTTTAGAGTGCAGAAGCACTAATGCGGTTGCCCTTTTTAAGTAAATGAAGGGCACATGTGTTGCATCTGTTTCTTGAAAGCTGCCCTTAAAAACTTGCAGCAATAGTTAACTCAGCTGCTTGTTCCTGCTCTCCAAGGGGTCGCCTGGCCTGACATGCACCGTCTGGCTGACAGAGTCCATCTGGAGGAGCTGACGAAAATTGGCATTCTGAAAGGCAACGTAGATGACATGGTGAAGGTTCATCTGGGGGCAATATTTATGCCACACGGACTTGGACACCTACTTGGAATTGACGTGCACGACGTTGGAGGCTACCCAGAGGTTAGTCAGTCCGTTCCCGCTCGCCTTGCAGATTAACCCTCCGAAGTCGCTCGCATTCCTCTCCACCGCGCGGTCCGGCGGCCGCCTCTTCCCTGAGCGGGGGCAGGTGTGCACCGCAGTGCGGCTCTTTTCTGGGGGTGACATTTATGCAGTGTCTCCCCTTAAAGTGGGGATCTATTATTTCATTAAAACATAAATTACCTGAGGCGGGGAACGCAACCGATGCCGCCCTTCAGGCCTTCTTCGGCTGCTGAACATGCGTACGGCCGCGGGAGCTGCCCGTGCCACGGCGCAGGCGTCAGCGCTCATCTCCACCGCTGGCCTGGGCGCAGGACAGGTGTGCTGTCCAGGAATGCACATAGCAAGGAAAAGGCTCCTAGGTCGTCTTCTCTTTGCATACCAGAAAGCATCATTCCTGGTGTTCTGGGTTGCTGCTGGTTATCTTTTTCCTTGAGCTAACATGATGGTTCATGCGTGTGGTCTGAAAGCAGAGTGGGTATAATTCAGTACACAGTGGTAAGATGTTTGCCATGATATTAAATAATCTCTAAGGGGAATTGAATTTAAACTTTGAATAAAGAAAGGAAGTTTGCAGCCATTTCAGAAGGATTTTCGTTATGTTGTATTTTAGTTTTCTGAGGCTGAGAGTTCAAGGGTTTTCCATAGTACAATATGAAAATGAATTTGTGTCCTTCTTTCTTTTTGTTATGTAAGAGTGTTCTCCTATCTGAAAAAATAAACCAAGACTTTATAAGTTTGGTTTGAGAGCAGTTAGGAGCTTGTTTCTGTTGGGTGAAGGCTACATAACAGCTCATGTTTCTGATTTGTCTTTTGCACAGCAGAAAGAAAAAGTATTGCTCTTTGATAGCTGTGTTTTTAATTATTTCAATATAATTGTTGTTGACACACAATATCGTGATGACAATATATTGGCATTGCCTATTAAACTTACATGTAATGGAAATGAAACAAAAATCAAAGGCAACCCCGTGCTGGATTCAAAGCTTCCTCGCTAGCTAGGAGAGGAAGGATGGTGGTGGTTGTCGTCTCTCCTTCTCCCAGGGGAATTCTCCCTATGTGAAAATACTGGCATTCCGCAAAGCACAAGGCACATGGCACTTGGGAGACCTCACGAATCTGAAATCCAGGAGCTGGGTGCTTTTGTGTAGGGTATTTTAAGCTTGTGTTTGTGAATAATGTTGCTGAACTGGGTGGAGTTTATTCCACTCGAGCTCATGTTCAAACCTTGGTTAGCTTGAGGGTAAACTAAATTTTAGGAACAAGAAAAAAAAAAAAGGATAAGGTATAAATTTTGCTTTATATATTAACACTACTTTTTAGAAGTTAGAGCAAGCACCTTAACCACATAGGAAATTCCAGGACTGATGTTTTGGGAGGACAAACACCAGGCCCCTTGCACCTTGCCTCTGACAGAGGGTTTCTGTGGCATGGCATGTCGGCTGTGGGGTCCGCTTTTGAAACTGATTTTTAGCTATTTACAAGCAAACTTACAACTAATAATTACCCAGTATATTATAGAATTTAAGGGCAGTGTTTTTAAGGAGACTTATCTGTTTACCGTTTTGGACATGCAACCTGTTACAGATGAATCTAAGACATAGGGCTCGGCGGGCTCTCCACTTTGGTATTTGGGGTGTGTAGAATGACGGTGCTCTGTGCCGAGAGCTCCGTCCTTGCGGATCCTGGAACGAGCAGCGTGTGGACGGGCTCCCCGTGGGAGGCGGCTCCTGCTCCACGGCTCACCGCTTCCCGGAAAGGCGGGTTTTGGAGACATCTGGTACACTCTGGCATGATTTTGGTGTGTTTTAATCATTCACCAGCAAGCAGGATTTTTACAAGGGACATTATAAAGCTGTTTGTGTGTTTATTGTGCAGCCCATGCCTGTAGTATCATGCTCTTTTTTTTTTTTTTTTCCTAGCTGGTTAAGAAGAGAGTTATTTGCTTTTGGCTGAGGGAATTTCTGGGAGTATTACAAAGGATTTTTTAAAAATAAAAACTTTCCAAGTGGATATTATTCCATTATTTTTTCCTCAAGTGTAAACAGTTACATTTGGAATAATACAATAAGTTTTAATTTCCTAATTTTTACCCGTCACAAAGTTTCACATGTTCCAGAAAAACTATTTCCAGACATTGTTAGCTTAGATTAGTTATTCATTAGTAGCCAAAGTTTTGTTTTTTTTCAAAATTGGCAATAATAAGTTTTCATCTTTTCCAGTAAGCAGCTTTCACATGCCATGTTGAACAAGCACTTTCTTCCTCTTTGACAAACTCTGTAAAAAGTTTGCCCGTTTTCTGTAAAGGGTGCTCTTGCATATTAAAAAATACAACATTTTGTTTCCTATATTGCCATAATAAAAGATAACCAGTTTTAGCCAACAGATGTGGCCTCACGACTACTTTAAGACAAGATTTTTAAAAGAGCGTAGCCTCCAACATTTCTCCTATAACCACCTAAGAAAATGTCCTGATTTTCAGAAGTACTTGGCAGTCGAGAGCTCCTTGGAGAATCTGGCCTCATGTAGGGTACCGTGTAATTCCTAGCGGGAAGCTGAGCATTGAACACTTTGAAAATCTGGCTGCTGCTTTTAAGGGTCTAGCTAAAACTTGAGCAGTTCTGAAAATCCAGCCCCAGTGGTACTAATCACTCCAGCAAATCTGGCCCTGAGTCAGGAAGAGCTAGCTTCAAAGGGTGAAAACTCCACTGGGTTTAGCTTCAGCTGTAAAATTTAATCATGGAGATGGTTTTCCCACACTCCTTCATTTGTTTCTGGGTAAATTGCATATGGGATATAACTGAGGATTTGAGCCTGTTTCAGTGGAGAAAATGTGGTGAGTGATCCCAAATTTTCAGACCCCGAGGTAGATGGGGCTGAAGTTTTCATTTAAATCTAGGTTCCTCGTCTCTAGATGCTCGAGTTGATTCAATTTCATGTTATATTAATTGACTATAAGGCTCTGAAGAATGCTAAGTACATTTTATGACTTTCTATAATAATAAGCCAGCTAATTTAAGTTAGGTTAATAACTACTGTCATTTAACGTCTTGTGAATTAAGAGTTCCATTTTGTTTTGTTCTCAAAAATTTATGTTTTACCCGAGTTTATGATTTTAATTTATTACTGTCATGAAAAGCTGATCCTTTCATTGCTATTCACCATCAGCCTATTAAGGTTTGAGGCTTGTTTTGATCCTGGAGTATCCACGTCCCTCCATGACTGTGCATGCTTGGGGAGCATCTTCACTGTTCAGAGAGGTGCCCTAGCACTGCCTGGCTCTTGCAGAAAGTCACTAAACCTAATTGAGACTGCAGGAATAATCTTGTTCCCTTTTTTGTTCTGGCAAAAATCATTTTCTTCATGTATCCTACTAAATTTATGGTGAAGCAGATTTGTGTGTGTGTGGCTAACATTGCAAATGATACATTAATATTTTTTTTCCATTAAGCAGCAGAGAATGAGGTGAATTTATTAAGGAGCCTAGAGCTTCTACACAGAGTCCAAATGATGCAAATTGCTTCACTTGGTTGTAACCTTGCAAAGCCAAAGCCTTGCTGTGGTCTCGTGTACCCAGGACCTGCAGAAACGGAACAGCTGGTGCAGCCGGCGCTCACACGAGCACAGAGGAGAAGGGCCTTTCGCCACCTTTAGGTTTAGGGTTGGTTTTTTGTGTGTTTGTTTGTTTTTTGTTTTGTTTGTTTTCTTGTAATCAGCTGCACACCTGGAGAAAAGATGAGGAGAAACCTGCTGCTTTAAGGAGAGCCACTCAAATTCACTCTTTTTCATTAAGCTCCTTTATGGCGATGCCACAACGTGGTTTCGTGCTTTACAAATTCCTTTATAAAGGAATTGGACTTTATAAGGAATTTGTAAAGACTTTCAACTCTCCAGGAACTGCCGTGTGGAATAGCACTGAAATCTGTAATGCCCGTTGCTGATCCATTGGATCCAGCCACCAACTAGCAGAATTTACCGCAGTGTAAGATCTCTCTCCATGGGATTTTGTTACTCCTTGCAGTGTTGGGTCAGTAGATCTCCTTATCCCAGCTGCAGCATCTTGCACGTGTGCAGAATAGCGCTCAGTTCTGGCATCTCTTCCTATGAGGGCTGATGCATGAGCTCAGCGTTCGAGCGGTTATAGAAGCTGGGGAGTTTTGGGGAGGTTTGGGGAGCTGAAGAGGCGGGAGGGCCTGGGTGCCGTTTCAGCACAGTGCTGTGGTGGAGAGCAGGCCCTGTCTGACCAGAGGATTTCCCTCCTTCGCCGGGAGGGACAGTGGTGTGCTCGGGGCTTTACTGTTGCTGGGCTTGGGTTTCGTTTCCTTTGGTTAATTTTTTGGAGGAGATAGTGTTTGCCATTGCAGATGGCAGGCGAGCCTTCCTCCCCATCAGAGAGAAACCGCCCTGCAGCCTCGGCCTGGTACTGCAGCTAACACCCGAGGAAAGAATGAAAACATTTACAATAAAAATGGCCAATTAAGTAGCATGTGCCCTCCGTTCCTGCAATATTACCTCTGAGCTGGTTCCCCCAAGCTCCCGCGGGTGCTTGGAGCCCGCGGGCAGCTCGGCTGCCGGGAAGGCAGGACGCGCCGAACACACGAATGCTCGTGAGCAGCACCAGCTACGGGGACGAGGGCTCACGGAGAAGGGGAGACGAGGTAAGGGGAACTCGAGGCTTTTGTTTTATTAGCTGCACAGGGCAATGTGCTTCCTACAGTAAATGAGCTAATTAGAAGTTGGGTAGACGCAGTGGGAGGAGAGGGAAGAATGGAAAAAATGAGATTTTATTTTAGTATTGATTCTCAGATTGTCTACATAAAATGTTAGTATTCTAATTTAAACACTTGATTTGAAATTAACTTGGTAAAAGAGTGAGGGCTGCACTGTGTTGGATGTGGCCTGGGTGGGACAGTCCGTTCCTCAGGCTCGAGAGAGACCTGTGACGAGGATGGTAGGTGGAAGAAGCGCCCCGGAGCCGTGCGGGGCCCAGTCCCGGTGTTGGGGGTTGGTTTCATTGCTTTGCCTGCGCGCGACACGCTGGGTGCTGCAGCCCCAGGTTCGGGGCGAAGCGTCGCGGCTCCTCTGCGCCTGCCCGGCCCATCCCAGGGAACGGTCCCGCTGGGCCGGGCTGCGGATGAGGCTTGCTGGGATGCAGGGATCCTTCCTGCCACTGAGCGAGCGTGGGGATGCTGCAGCTCTCGGTTTTCCATAGCCACTTTGCTGGGGGAGAGGCATGCTTGTGTACTTCCTGATTCCCTGCTTATTCCAAAAATAGATCTATATTTTATATTGCTGCCCACTTAACTCAATTTGAACTTTTATTTTGCTTACATAGTAATGAAATCAGTTTACATAATAATTCTCTTGTTCCCCTGACAGTCCTTATTGCCTAGACATGCTGTTTTGTGTTACCTTACATGAACCATTAATTGGAGGCTGATGTTCTTGGCAGCAGTACAGTCACAAATGACAGTGTCGTACATCTGGGCTTCCTGCGCGAGTGGCTCGGCTCGAAGAAGGGAGCAGATCCTCCGAATCAAACCAGGCTTAGAAAACCCTTTTGCATACAGGTTACTGCTGCAATATACAGGAAAATAAGCAGCTCCTTGCAAAGCAATTCTTCCAAAATATCATGGGGAGCCCAGGTGATAATGCTTTCTAGATTATTCTTTTCTGAGGCAAAGTTTGTATGCTGCTGAGGGCAAGAGGGTCCTCATCCGCAGCCAGGCCTCCAGGATACGACAATTATAGCAACGAACTGCTGCTCCAGCATGCAAATTTTTACTCTTCATTTCATCTAACTGCAAAACAGTGTGATGGTTATTGCTGGAGTCGAGGCATTAGTAGTTTAGCTGCAAACTACAGGGAAGTGGCCTCCTTGCAAAGCAGAGGACGTGGCCTTGGCACGTGCAGACGCGTGCGTGCGATGGGCACCGTCGTGTCCTCGCGCTCACCTCGCAGCTGGAGCTCTGCTAGCCCCGCTAAGGCAGCTCTGCAGCTGGCATCCGCTTCCAAACACAGTGTCACTGAGTGTCCCTCAAGACACTGTTTTGCAAGAAATGCAGCCACTCCCGTTTCTATAGGGACTTCTGTGTCCCCAAAGTCCAGAAGCTTGGAGGTGAAACCAGTGTTGACACAACCTAGAGCCGAGTCAGGACTGAGGCAGTGTCAGAAACTGCTCGTTTCTAAATTGCTTCTAGAGGAGTTAAAATCCTGCTTTTGGGGGAGACAGGGTATTTGGGTGCCCCAGGGACCCTGCCCTTCATCACTGACCAGGCTTTCGAAAAAGGCTCCTAGAGGCGACTCCGTGGGTTTTTCCCCTTGCTTGCAAACATGCTCTTGGCATCTTGGACGAAGCCCTGGATCGGGCTGCGAGCAGCCCACGCAAAACCTCCGTGCGTTCCTTACGGCTGTACGTAGGTGCGTGAGGCTGGATCCTCACACCTCGTGCGTTTCAAGCACGAGCCAGAAATGCACGTTTGGTGCCAGCGCGGCCCTCGCGGCCGCCTGCGTCGTTCCCCTCGCTCTGCACTAGCCCTTGTCGCGTCTGACCGCCGGAGAGCCCAGCTCCCAAGCCGCTCCGAGGAGAAGTGTGCTTAAAAGCCACACAGGGACTGTTTGTTGTAAAGCAGCCGATAGATACTTGGCACCACACCAAAAGGTCCAGACACTAATCTAATTGTTTACAGCTCATGGAGAGATTAATCCACAAGATTGGATGCCCTCATTTCCTTTATGCATTACAATGAATGTGGGAGATGCCAAACCTCATGGGGCAACAGCAAAAAGAAAAATTACTCCATTTCAGCACAGTTATTGTTTCAAGTGTAGAAATATATGGATTCCCTTTCATTTTTGATAAGAATATGACTGCAAAGTGCCTTGGTTAGTATCAGAGCATTCTTGTTTCCTGACTTTAGTAAGACAAAATTGTGCTCTCCAATTTTAGTGTAGTAGAAAAAATAATCTTGAAATCCTGTGGAAAAAACTCAGATCAAACATATGAATAAAATATATCAAATATACAGTGCAAACTGTCAGAGAACAGCTGGTGAATCCCACCGGCCTGGTTTGCGAGAGCACCAGGAGCCGCAAACATCTCTGCAAAGTGTCCCAGCTGGTTAGCTCCAAAAACCCTGGCTGCAGCAGGATGTTGTGCACTGGGGCAGAATAAGCTCTCTGGGGGATAGTAAAGAAACCAGGATACCCGGGGTAGAACAAAGCGAGCGCTGCGGACTGCGACTGCAAGTGAAGCGTGTTTGTCCTATCTGCAAGCACGTTCGGGAGCACATACTGCCATGGGCTCGTGCACACTTTGGAGAGGGAATGATGTGGGAATTGAAGCACAGCTGAAGCGTTTCCTCCCCCTGGTACCAACCACGGTTCTGGGGTTTCTGAAAGGAGTCTCCCTCCCGTGGGCAAGGAAAATAACCATGACTTTGGCCCTAAGAGCCTCCCAGAGAGCAGTGTTTTCGGGAAATGCTCCCTATCCTGCCAGCCTGCTGGCCTTTAACTCGCTGGCTGCACGGAAGGGTTTCCATGCACGCAGCGAAGCGCGTGTGCGCGCTCGCAGGCTGGCGGCCCCTGCTCTGTTTACTGGTCATCGTGTTTCGTTGATGAAATTATGCTACAGTTGCAAAGGATTTGCTAAAAGCTAATGGAATTAAGATATATTTATTCAGATGTTGCAATACCTGGCACATTTGGGGGGAAGAAAATTAATATCCTGAACTAGTCTTTGCAATGTTTCTAATTCCTTGACTAAACATGTCCTCATATATCATTTTACTTTACCAGCTTTTGGGAAGAAGAGCATGTTTTGCTAGTTGGGACTTGTTTTGACTTATTTTTTAATAATATCAGTCAGCACCATGTTGCCTGAAAGTCTGAATCTGACAAAAGTTTACTTCTAAATGGGCTGCTTTTATGAGGTCATGTGTAGACTCATTGCTCCTGAATCAAGATCATAAATGTGTGATTTTAATAGCACGCAGTGAGAATAAACATTTGCATATCTGTGGAGAAGCTGTTCCCCACTGCATGGTTTGGCTGTTTCAGACATCATGCAGAGGGTGCATTTGAAGACTTGCAGGTCCCTTAGAATATTAGACTGGGAACTTTGTAAGGGAGGCTACAGAGTAAAAAAAAAGTTGTTTTTTTTTTTCCCTTTAAAGAAATACTTTTTGCATGGTAAGCAGTGACAGTACTAAGTATCTCTAAATCTCTACAGTGCAAAACCAGTTTGGCAGTTGAGTTTAAAGCCAGTAATCGCGGTGTGTGAAAGCTGAATAAGAAGAATGGGACGGAGGTAACTACAGCAGAGCTGCGCTCGGGCGTTGCGGCCCGGGCACCCTGTGCAGCTGCGGAGGAGGGTGGATGCGGCCTGGGCATCGTGTGGAGCCGCTGGGCTGCGGAGGAGGGTGGATGCGGCCTGGGCTCCTGCGTCCTGCCCGGTGTCTCTCTTGCAGGGGGTGGAGCGCATCGAGGAGCCGGGGCTGCGCAGCCTGCGCACGGCCCGCACGCTGCAGGCCGGCATGGTGCTCACCGTCGAGCCGGGCATCTACTTCATCGAGACCCTCCTGGAGCAGGCGCTCGGCGACCCCGCGCAGGCCTGCTTCATCAACAGCGACGTCCTGCAGCGCTTCCGAGGCTTCGGCGGGGTGAGTAACCCTCGCCCGGGCGCTTTCTGCTGCCTGCTCCTTGCTGCCTGCTTGGGAAGGAGTATTTTAGAACTCGTAAGTGTTGCCCATAGGCTGTACCTGAAATAGCACCTTGGGCCCTTTGACCCTGCAGGCAGTATGAAGGGTTGGGTTGTTTTAAATGCAGTTTTAAACCTGGCTTATCTAATTAACAGAAGATATGTGTTTTTCCATTGATTGAAATATCTTCTGTCAACACCGTACTATTACCTGCCAGGTAGCTGTTTTGTCTGTGTGCAGAACGTGTGTTGTGAAATTGGAGCCTGAGACTGGTATTCCAGAGGTAGCTTCCTGGCAGCCGCGAGCCGGGCGGGCGGGATGGCATGGGAGAAGAGCGGGAACGCCTGTTCTTGCTGGAGGCCTGCCCGGATGGCACGAAGCCCTCCCTGCTTTGCAAAGGCAGGGCCTGTGCTCCTTGTGAGGCCTCCGCTCCGGGCAGCTCCGGAGAGGAGCCGAGCGGCCGCTTCCCATCGGCAGCCCGAGCGCCACCTCCGCACCCTCCGGAGAGCCCTTCCCCTTCAAAGCCACCGCCCGAGCCGAATGTCAGCAGCTTCCAGCAGGTTGGGGTTTTCCTGGCACTGGTATCCAGAGGGTGCCGTGAGGCTCTCCGGGCTTCGCGCACCAGGGAGATAGTGCAGCTGACTGGGATGCTCCATCCCTTACCTGGCTCCTCTGCTCAGGCCCAACACAGCGAGCCGTTACTGGCACCGGTGGTGATTTCCTGGGAAGAACAGTCACTCATTACGAATTCACTGCTACCACCAGCTAACTCACCAACTAACTAACCAGCGACGTGCAGGCCCCCGCGTGGCTGCCCGATCCACCGGCACAATCTTGTCGAGAGACCGGGGCCTTTGCCCTCTGCAAAGGGGTTTCGCTCAGCACCGAGGCTTGGGCATCAGGCACGTTTGTTCCAGAGGTTTCCAACAACGTCTAACTTTCCCCGGGGTTTTCGCTTAGCTTCCTGTAAGGATGACTTGCAAGCAGAGCTGGCCAACAACTTTGCTGAAAGGGGGAGCTGCCCAAAAAGGATTGAGCAAAAATCTGAATCTCAGATCCCCCTGTGAACAATACATTTTGCTTAGAAGAAAATAATAACACGTACACACTCAGAGCCAGATGTTGTCACTTGATCTTGTCCAGGAAAAGGCTTGAAGGAAAGTCTGAAACTCAAGCACATCTGAATTCTACCAAAAAAAAAAAAAAAAGCTAAATTGCAATGTAACCAAAACATATTCAACCATCTTCATGGTTCCGACTTCATCCTGATTAAGTAATGTCATTTGTACTGTTCATAGTGCTTAGCTATCAGCCTTCTGGTTCATTTAAATTTATCTAGATTTAATGATTATTTATCTCAAGTATACATCAGAAAATTTCTTCTACATGATTTTAAAGCCTCATAGACCAATATTTCCCCTGTCGCATATTGACAGTAGAGTGTTAGTATTGCTATCAGTTCTAGCTGAGGAACTCACTAATGTTGTGGCCAATCTTACCTCATTGGATTTAAGTTTAAAAGAAAAATCTATCTTAAAAATGGAAATAAATACTCCTTTTCCCTCTGCAGAGCTCAGCACTAATTAAAGTGCTATTAATTTGTTTTAGTTGAGTTCATTTCAAAAATGAATTTAGCGTAACAAGGTAGCACCACTGGAGTTCTGAGTAAGACTGTCCACACAGTGGATTTCGGTGAATTCACTGATGAATTTCACAGAAACGTTTGTGCCAAAAAAAAGAGTGACCATAGCCGGGTACTGTAGCTTGTGCTGCTCCGTGCTAGCTGTACGGAGGTGGTGAAAGCTGCAAGGGAAAGAAAAATGAGCAAAAACACAAGGTTTCCTTCGCTGCTTCTCGCTTGCTGTTGCCGTTCAATACTATGTTAATAGTATCATACATTTTTTAAAAACAATAGGACTCTCTCTGTTCAGGAACAAAGGATAAACCAGGTAAAAAGCAGAAAATATTTCCCCTTTGCATCTATGAAGGGATTGTCTCTACCTTTGGCTCACAGAGCCACACAGTTGTCTTCGTTCCTATTGAATTTGGGATTAAGTTGAGCTCTGTTTTGAGGCCTTGTGGAGAATATGTGTTGTGGAGTGAAAGGGTTTACTAGGCAATAAAAATAATAATGCTCATCTGCTTTCTAACATTTAATTTTATATGCAGTATTAACAGTACTCAAAGCATATTTTGGAAAAATGTTTACAGCAAAGCAGTTGTCATGATGAAATATATGGCTTTCTTTAAAGTTGTTGCAACAGGAGTGATAGTTGTAGGCAACTCCAAAACATCTCTTATTTCTTATAAGCCTCCCTTAGCCCTTTTCTCTCAAGTTGTCTAATGAACATAGGTTAAACTGAGAGCAGTTGTTTCCAGCCTGCATTTAGCTGGTAGCTCATGGCTGCTGTCTGAGCTTTGACGAAGGGATTGGGTGTCTCGAGCGGCTGCTCCCAGCCGTATCAGTTTGTCTAATGCAATGCATGGCCTCACCCTACAAATCTCCGTCCCCTTTTATGAATGTTTATACGTGGACCTTTGAAATAACGTGTGCCGGACGCGACTGAACGAGGAAGGGGAAGGCTGGCAGGCCGGGGTGGGAGCGTCCCCGCGCGGCGCGGGCGCCGTTGGCCTCTGCGCGCAGCGTCTCGGTGTTCCCGTCGGTCGGAGCGCAGGAACAGGCAGGTGTCGGTGCTTCCCCCCTCCTGCGAAGTCCTTCAGGCAGGTGGAAGCGCGTGGGCTGATTTATTGTGCACGGTGGCACGTTGGGCCACATCCTGGCATCGTTGCCCTGACGGGTCTTCTGCTTTCCCCAGCCACGCTCAAGAAATGACCAGCGGCTTCAAACAAGGAGACGTGTCCCCAGTGGTCCTTGCTAATCACATCTGGGATCTGTCACAGTGCTAATCTGGACCGCTTAATTGGCCAGCGCTGTTTCCCGGCTCTCAAAAGCTTTTTACATATAAATCATATCCGAAAGAAATGAATGAGTGCTGCAGCCCCCTTCTCTTGGAAGATAACCCAGGAGGCCCTGGGGAGCATGACTGTATTCGTGAGCGAGGACAAAGTGCGAGGCTGTGTGTGAGGCTGACGGGAGCCGTGTGGTTAACCCCTGTGCTGCCCCGGGCCGGGCGCCGCGCTCGGCCCTTGTGCAATCCGCAATGTCCAGAGAGATCCCAGCGCTGCCCTGGATGAGAAACAGGCATCGTAGGACAGGGACGACCTGCCCGGCCACCTCACTGCTGCAGGAGGGCTTCGAGAAGTGCCACCGTGTGCTGGAAAAGAAAAGTGTCCCAGGGGTTTTTGCAGAGAGCCCCCAAAGCAGCCGGAGGCCTCGCACCCCCCTTTGCTGTTGCTTTAAGCTGCGCCGGTTCCAGCCCCTTTGCGGAGCCCTGGAAGGAGCCGTGCGGAACAAAGCCGAGAACAGGGACAGCTCTGAGCGTCGGTTTCATAACAGCCGTCGCCTCCGGGGACAGCAGCCCTGCGGCAGCGAGCCCTGCCAGGCAGAGCCAGCATCTTTTGTCCATTTGGAGAGCGGACAAGGAAGACCAAAGGCCGGGCTCTCCTGGAGGTTTTCAGGTCCTCTGAAGAGTTGTCCTGTTTGGCAAGGTTGGGCTCCGTGCGAAGCCTGCTGAGCGTGCATCAGACGGGCAAAAGCTCTTCACCCCCCTTGTAAACCTGTCTTCCTTGGCACTCGTGCTGCCGCTAGGCTGAGGCAGCGCGTGCGCTAGGAGCAGCGAGTCTTTCCTCACGTTGCAGCGTAGCCCCCTCCAGGCAGGAGCATGGTCACCTTCCCCAGAGGGGTCGGTGAGGCCCCATGGGAGTCCAGCGAGGCCGGCCTTGCCCGGCGCGCTCCTGGAGCCAGTCTGCTCGCAGGCTCGAGCCAGTCCCAAATCAACCTTTGCAGCCCCGTAACTTGTCAGTCCCATCTCACCTCGCCGTGTCTTCCTCCCCAGCTCCTTCCTTCGCTCTAGCTCCATTTTCCAACGCATTCCCAGTCCTCATTCCCACCTGTGGCCAGCTCCACTTTCTGTCCTTTCCACGGAGCCCTGTGCAGTCAGCCCCCCTTCCCCGCGTGCTCTTCCCTTGGGTAACGTTCGTGCTTCCCCCACGACAGCTCTGCGGCCTGCGGTGCCGCTCCGGGGCTGCTGTGGCCCTTCCCGTGCGGCCGAAGGGCCCCGCGGGCTCCCACGTCGCTCCCGGCGGCTTCTCGGCAGGCCGGCTCTGTCCAGGCGTGCTCAGACCCGTGATGCTCCTCACGGCACCGCAGCGGTGCTGAATCCTGGGCCTGTTACTCGTTCAGGTGGCCGAATTCAAAGCAAAGGCTCAACAAAGCCACCCGGTGAAAGTGGCCGGAGTGCACAGACCCATCTGCCCTCCCACGGCCCCGCAGCGGGACGCGCCGAGCACCAGGAGACCTGCAGCTTTCCAGTTCCCAGCTGTCCAAATCAAATGCGTGAACCCGGTGGAGTTTGTTTAATTCTGCTTTATAATACACTTCACTTGATACCAAGTAGAAGCAATAACCTGGCAAAGACATCATTAAACAGTTTAATAGGGACTGGATGACTCATTTTGTTTGAACAAATGGATTATTTTGCAATCAGACGTACAAATGTTAACCAGCTTTATTTTTAGCTGAAAATGTCAAGAGGTCAGAAACAATTAGATCAACTGTAAGGTGGGAGTCCCCAGAGTTTGTGTTCTCTTGGATTTACACCTTACTAAAATTGCTTTTATTGCAGCTTAGCGACTTACTAACATTTTTCTGATAAGATAACGAGAAATGACTATGTAGGCACATTTACTAGTAAGAAGAGATTAGAGTCAAACAGAAATGGAACATACTTTTCATTTTAACAGAACAAGAGCTGGAAAAACTGAGACGATAGACTTTTCTCTTGCGTGATTGAAAACATAGTGATTGTGTTTTAAAATGAATGTCTGATCTGCCTCGGACCTTCTCATCAGCTCAAAATTCTGCGTTTAGATTGTGCACTACAGGCTATTTCATGTCACAGCTCCTACTTTGGCAGTTAATCACATTTAGAGGAAAGAAACGTGATTTGTAAGCACAGAGCCTGCAGCCCAGCGACGGGCACCGCGGTCAGGCCTGTCCCTTGCGAGCTGTGCGCTGGTGACGCTGCTGGCGAATCCAGGGGAAAAGGTTTCCTTGGCAGCTCCCGCTGGCCAGGGCGGATCGGTAACCGCGTGTTCTCTGTGACAGGTCCGAATCGAGGATGACATTGCGGTGACGGCCACAGGAATGGAGCTGCTGACGTGCGTCCCACGTACCGTGGAAGAAATAGAGGCTTTCATGGCAGAAGGCCGGAGCGGTGCCAAGTCATTTGACTGACGGTCCAGCCAAAAGCAGTCAACGTCGGGATGGTGCTTACTGTCTCACGCTAATCAGTCATGGTTCTGATTTAACGTAGCAGCACATAAAGTGCATCTAATTCTGAATTATCAAGAGAAGCAGGTAGGCGATTAGCTGAAATGAATCATTCAGTAGAAATGAAGGCAGAAGGCTTTGGCGCTGGATATCCAGGTAACACAAATGTTGCTACTTGCGTTTACATTACCACGTGCCAGCTAAATAACCCTGCTGCGTTGTCAGCGGGGCTTATACTCCTCCCAAATCTCAGCTCATCTTTCTTCCATTAAAATCTAAATTTTGTTGATAAGGACTCTTTAAAATACCAAATGGATTATCTGAATGCTGTCAACAATTGTAGCAATCCAACAAGTCCTTCAGCAGAAATGTCACAGAAAAGAAAGTAAAAATCTCAGCTGTTCTCAGTGGCCATCATGACACACATCTTTCTCGTGGATCTTATTTCAGTGTTGATGGAGTAAGCACAATCAGATTTTTATTAAAATTTATCCTTGGCATCATTTGTGCTCTCAACTTCGTGTTCATTATGCTCTTACGCTCCCTATTCCTGCTTCTTTATCTGACCTTTCTACCAATTTGTGCTCTGGAAACTTTGACCCTTCATTAGTCACTGCTCTGGGTAGTGAGTGTGCTGATCCTTCACACACAGCCCACGGACTATTCGATTTGTGCATCTACATTTCCCTTAAAAATGTAGATTACTGTGATGTTCAGGAGAGTTGTAAAAATTGCAAGGAGAGAGCATTTTTGGTACAGGGCTCAGGGTCCTTCAGCAGTTTCAGAATGAGAGAGTTCTTATTAATTGTCCAGTGTCAGCTGGTGCAGAATTAAATCACATAACTTTTATTTGGATACACAACAACTTTATTAATAATTATCACAAAATATTTTTTCCATTCATGCAAGAATCAAATTGCTCAGAGAAGCCTTTCTTTACTGTATTTACTGTAAGTATTCATCAACCTGCAGGAGAGTAAATACATTTCTTGCATCATAAAATAGCCCTAGTTACTTTAATGACATCAAAATAATTTTGCCTACTTTATGAATGCATCACAACTGCGCTCAGTGGGACCAGAACGTGCTCTGTATGGTTCTTTATTTCTAAGTGACCTGCTGCCAAGCAGGAGACTTTGCGTAGCGCAGACTAAAGGAGTAACGTTGTGAAATAATCCAGGGAACTTAATTCCTCGTGTTTGATGTCACTTTACTAAAAAATGGATCTACTTTTTTTTTTTTTCTTTTTTCTCCTCCCCTGCAATGGTGACCTGGCTGTTTTGCAAGAGGTAAGTGAGGGAGGTCCTGACTGAGAAGAGGAGGAAGGGATGCAGGGGAAGGGGTGAGGGGAGCAGGTTTTATCCATAACTCGGCTCATGCTCCCTGTTGTGGCGACTCATGAGCTGCAGCCCTGGTCCCCTTGCAGATACGGGAACACAGAAACCTCCTGGCGCTGCTCCGGGCTCGTCTCCCTCCTGAACCTGGAGATTTGTTCAGTGCAAGACGGCGCTGGCGGCCTCAGCCTCCTTCCCCCGGAACACCCTTGGGATCGTGCACTGCTTTGGCACTCCAAAACCTGCAGTTGCTTTGGCTTAATAGTGTTACTATTTTGAAGCAACACCTCACAGAATAATAAAAAAAAAAAAAAAGGAGTTTTGGAATTGTTTCAGTTGAGCTATAATCCAAGTCTAGTTAATGGGCCTTTCCCCGCCTGTGATTAATCTTGGCAAATATTGGTCTCCACTGCTGCAAAACAGGTCGAGCAATCTGGCAGTGGCAGGAGGCAGAACTGGTTCTGCTTCGACATGTACCAGCGAACCCAACCTGCGAGGAGCTCTGGAGGGAAAACGCGCGCGGGTAACGAGCCGCTTGCCTGAGAAGGGATGTGTTGCAGCCTGGGATGCTACCCTGTCTCCAATTTCTCCTTCATATCCAGGCCAGTGACTATGAAATTTATCCTTCCTTCTGGAGCTCTGTTCTATAATTATGATAATTTTTTATCCACTTAAAGCAGAAAATGAATTAGAATATTTTTTTCTAAATTAGCATCTGTAGGGTAGGCAGGAGGAAAGCGTGTCTTTAAAAAAAAGCAAAATGATATTTAATGCACTTAAAATGTATTAGTCTATGTGTGGGGAGACAGGTTATGACAGACTTTTTTTGGCTTCAGTAGGTGTTTTTAGGCTGTTAGGTAGCATGTTTTCCCAAATGCCTCGTCTCCCTCCTGCAAACACACTCAAATAGCGTTGCACCAAAATAACAGAAAGAGAGCATTGTGCTGAGCAAGGCTGTGTGTTTAAAAAGGCCCAAATCACTCCTGAAGTGATATATTTAAATAGTGCCAGCTCCTTGGGGCCGGATGCTGTCCGGATCCATCTGCTCCGCGGATTGCTCTGCTGCAGCTAGGGGGTATCATAACGTGGCAGAGCCTCCTAGCGCTCGCGGACGTTATAGTGCAGACGGTTTGTGTTTTGGGAGGGAGGAGAAGGGGAATGGGGTGCCCGGTGAAACGCCCCATGCGGTTTACCCCTCATCCTTATGTAGGTGCCTTGCTCCATCCTTGGCTTAGGAAGAAGCTGCTGCTTTGAGACGTTCTGCAGGCAGCCAGGAGGAAGAACGTCCCCCCGCGAGTCTGCCCAGGGGCTGCAGAGCGATAGACTCGTGCCTGTTTGGCAACCTGCCTCCCGCCCAGGGGAGAGCTCCCATCGCTTCTTGTAGTCTTGGAGCAGCAGGTAGTAACGTGCGGCGCTCGGCGCACTGCTAAGGCAGAAGAGGCACTGTGCAAACCAGTGACTTCTCATCATGCAGAGAGACTTTTTAGTGGGGGGGAATTGGAATCGATACTGTCAGGAGTAACAAGGGGGAAACTCAGCCTGCCTGGAGCATCAGGAGTTCCTGTGTTTCCATCAGAAAGACTTCTGTTCCCTTCTCATGGAGGTACGAGAAATCATTGCTCTAGAGATTGCTCATTTCGCTAAAATGAGGAGAGAGGCTCGGAGCCTCGGTCCTGCTCATCAGGAGCTCATCCAACATTAACCTACCACATCAGCTCCGGAGCTCCAGAGCTGTAGAGTCCCGATTCACAGAGGAAATGAGCAGGGATGAGCCAAGCTCCTGCCTTTCTCACCAATGTTGGTGCACAGAGAACAAATGAGAGGTTTTCAGATCATCTTTTCTCTGTGGCTTTTTTATTTCTTTAGTCATAACCTTTTTGGTGCAATATCCTTTCAGGAAAGGTAGATGCAGCTCTTAAATTACTTTTTGTGTATGTGTGTGTGTGCAAAATCAGGACTTCAGCCCAAGCTGTAATAAGCGTCTGACTTTCTTTCCACTGAGGAAAAACTCTGAGGGGAGGACAGGAATGGACACCATCCATCTCTGACTTCTCAAAGGAGTTGTGTGTCTGGGGTAGATACTTCTGTCTTTGAGGGAAAGGAAAAAGGAGTAGGAAAAATAAGACCAACATTTTAGAGGCAAAATGTTTTTATTAGCTTCTGTTATTAGCTACTTAAGCTGCAGCTAAAACCCAAAAACACATCTTTGTAAGAAGACCAGAATCAAAAACACGCCGTAAGAGTCTTCCATGTGTAATTACCTTTGAATTAAAAATATAAAGTCAAAATGAACTTTTGGAGGCTTTATTTTCTAACAGCATCTTCACAGAGCTATTATCCAAGTTCTCTTCCTAAGTATAGATACAATGCAACAAGCATCCTACAAAATAATCTACGGAAAAAGGCAGTGTGGGAGGGAAATTAAGACAGTGTAATAGTCTACTAGGCAGACACACAGGTTAAATGAAACACAACCATACCATCAATGAAATATTTAAAAATGAAAATAAATTAAGGTTACATCAAACTTCCTGCTTTACTTTTATTGTTTAAATCCTCAGTGTAGTACATACCACTGCATTATGGATCATGGTAAAGACTTATCACTAGCATTTAAAAATTGCTATAGAAAACGTTCTATGAAAATAAGACAAGACTGAAGATACTCCTTCACACAACTCTATGATGGCTATAGAAGTTCTGCTGAATTCAGTTATTCAGACCAGGGCCATTTATTTTTAAAATCGCTTTGGATTTCTGTAAGATTTTCTTTACAAATCTGCACAGCCATGAAAATGGCACGAGTGCCAGTGAGCAGTGATCCAGCTATTCTGATGGAGTAGACGCCGTGTTCCCCCTCTCACGGCTTCGCCAAGCTGCACGTCCTCCCCAATACCGCACCTTAGCAAGAATGCAGTTTTGCAGAGCACACTTTTTGGTAGAATTTTGACATTTCCTGAAAACCAAAATCATGTTGTCTTAAGGCCCCAGAGTCACTACGGGAACAATGTATGAACATAGGCTTGAAAGGCTTTATCAGTGTGCTATTTTACCCTTTATACACGACACCTCAGACTGATCTGCAGCTGGGAGGCCACCTGCCTCTATACATCATCATAGTATATTGCTATTTTCCTGGAAAACGTCCATAAGCATCCTAGGTCACTAGTGCTATACCCTCCCCATTAACTACAACTGGGTAAGAAGGACCTAAATAGTGCTTTACAGGGCTTGCTCTACAGGTTTAAAGTAATCCACCAAACAAGAAAGCAAACTCTATGTAATGGGAAAAAAAAAAGCTTAAATACATTAAAAGTACTTAAAATAACATTTCATCCAATTATCACTGATACGACAGTGAGCCATCCTGCTGGATTCCTCTCATTATGCAAAATATAAGAAGATAAGTGAACATTTCTGTGGAAGTGCTATTGCTCTAATATTAAGCTCCTTGTTGACTGTGAATTTATATTATCTGCATTTATTAGCCAAACCTTATAGAGAAGAAAAATATTTAACACTTTAAAACAAGTACTCTAAAATTATGCTTTAGTTGTATCAAATCTTCAGTGTTAAACCTAAAAAGAGAATCTCCACAAAATAATGGTCAAAAGAACAGTTTCTGCTCGGTCACTGCATGGGCAGCAC